TCTACAAAATAAGGGGAGACTATAGCCGGGGTGGCTTTTCTTGTTAATGACCCTGCTAATCTTCCCATGGAGATTAGCCCCTATATAAATGATCTTTTAGAAGATTTTAATACAGAGATCTTCCATAGTTTTGGCAGGCTCATCGATGGTTCCAGCAGATTGCTGGCCTCTTGACCTCTTTGCTCTTAAATTGTTGTTTTTCACTGAATGTTTTATTGTCAATTTGTTTCTTTGTTTCTGTCTCATGTTGACTCCTGATATCTGCCTGGATGCAGGGAATTTTTGGCAAGATTTTATAAATGGTTTGCCATTGCTTTCTTTCTAAGGCTGAGAATGACTGGTCATCTAACTCATTTTGTGCTTAAAATGGGCTGGAACTGATAGTCTCCCAGTTTCTTGCAGAGTGCTTAACCACTACACCAAGCTGGTTCTCTTAATATTTTATACTATGGATATTTTAATTGTACTGTTCTGTTCCATGCCACTGAGCAACTAACACAGTTAGTAGTGGGATAGAAACCTATTTATTTATTTCACTACCAATCTACTTTTCATTCAAGAGGTAGAGCACTATGCATTATGTTCCCTCTTCACTAGAACATCAATCCTGTGACGTAGCGCGGGTCAGTTGGACAAATAAATAAATATTAAATAAATTATGTTCCACAGGCATTGTGTAATACTCTAGCTTCCTTTTTGCATTTTTTTTGCTTAGAAATGGAATTGTTGTTGAGCTGCATAAAATGATGCACTATTTCTCATCTTTCCTTGGCAGGTCATTATGGAAAGGATATTTATCGAAGTGGAGGTCCAGATTTCCATAATTTCATCTCTTCTGGGTTTGTCACATTAGGAAGAGGACACAACAAGGGTACAGTGGAAACTATTTTTTGTTGAATAGAAAATATATGTTTGAGAACAGTCTCTCACTTGAAAGTTTTGTTATGTATGACATCAGATAACAGTATTAGTGTGGAAAATCATAGGCTTATGCCAGAGCATAGTGTTGCAAGTTTAATAAAGTGTTAACAGTGGCCTTTTAAATCCTATGGAAGGAGACATGGAATGAGCATCTGGAGAAGGTTCCAGAATGGCAGAAAGACAGGTGGACTGAGCTACATGAATGGAAACCTCCTGTCTTGCTACCATTTGCCAAAGAAACAGAAAGATACATAAAGTTACTATGGGATAAAATGGTAACACCACTCCCATAGTGGGATGCCGTTATTAGAATATGGAGCATTGACTTAAAACTGTACACATAAATATATCTACCCCTTTGGTGTGCTTATATCACACCTAGAGAAAAAAAATCTGCATTATAGTCTAATCTAATAAAAACACCTCCTTTACCTACTGAAAAAAGTAGGAATTGCACAATAAGACAAAAAGCTCACAATTCCCATAGGTATGTTATGCAAATGTATAAGTTTGCAAACAAGCCCAAAGGTACTTCCAAGCAATGCAGTTAAGCCTGGGAGTGGGACTGACCTTTGCCTTCTTTGAATTTCAGTAGAAAGCAATTTGGTGATCGGTCTGGCTAAAGATCTTGGGAATTTCATTTTGTTGTGCCTAGTTTTATTCCCCCTTGGAATATATTGCTTCTTGGTGCTCATACATGAATCTTGAGAACTTTCTGTGTTTTATTTGTTCTTTGCTTATTGTATGTTGGAATCTGGACTGCATAAACTTATCTGTAAGTTGTGAAAATGGATTTGTGGTCCTGCCACATAGTGGCTCACGGAACTGAATCACTTTTGCATCTCCTCTAGATTTTTCTCTCCAAAATTTGTGTGAGATTCTTAAAGAGATGCTCATTATTGATTGTGTGATAAAGCTACTGGTCATATTATTCACAATTTCTATTGAATTTTCATCAGCAGATTCAGTATAACAAGAGTGCGTTGTATTTAAATATTTATCCTTCCTACGCATATATTGTAAGCATTTTATAAAGCGATTTCCTTAAGGGTCATACATTTTTGTCTGTCTACCTAATCTGTGAGAAGTGTGTGTGTGTGTGTGCGTGTGTGTGTAAGAGAGAGAGAGAATGCACACAGACACATACTCATTATTGTACAAATCTGAAAAACATGTCAATATCCATAACCTGCACTGTGTATGTTCTGTGTAACATAATGTATATGCAGTACAATGCTGGATGTGCTGATGTGGTGATGTAATAGCAAATGATATCTACCATAACCACCTAGCAATTATGATGACCCTCATAACTGATATACAGGAGCGTCTTGCTACCCAAACCAGGATGGCTCTTTAAAAATCACTCTGGTGTCTATTTGGGTGAATTTCTAATGAAGTATATAGCAAGACCTTTTTTTATTTATAGGGGGACGGAGTTGTGTACATTTTATTGCTTTCAGACTGTTGAAGAACGAGCCAATTTCCTAGAAAGACTTGAGCGGAGAGAGGGAAAGTCCTAGTAGGGCTGGACCACTCATTGGATCTGATGTACAGATTCCAAGCTAGCTAACCGTCAAGTCTTTTTGGGGATTCGCCTCACTCTATGGCACACTAGTGCATTAAAGGGCAGGCTTAAGCCACCTTGATGACACAACATTGTTCCTTGCTGACTTACTTGTAGACTGTTGAACATTTATATCATGTATTTGGAGATACAATTCTATTTCTAGAGAAACACTGTATTGTATGTGAAGGCATATTGTTTTATATATCCATTCTTGTTGATGTTTCCATGGATGTTCATCATTCGCAAGTTGTAAAACAAAAACAACCAACTTCCCTTTCTTGCTCTGATTTTTATTTTGCTGTTTAACCAATGGAAGAAAAGCTTTCTTTATAAATGTCATCCAAAGCAGTGTGAGTTTTGTGGAACTGTCACAGAAAAAAAAACATTATATGTGTGTACTGTCTGTGTTTTGTCTGTTCAAATAAAGTTTATTGAGGTGGAGGCATAGCCCGTAGGATTGTGTTGTCCTGTGGTGTAGGATGCAATACAGAAAAAAAAAAGCATAAAAAAATGGGAGGGAAAGTGGATACAATGTATGGACAAAGAACTTCCAAGAAAAAAAAAAAAGCCTTCTATAATCTTTTCTGAATTACCCTTTTCAAGTTTTTCTAATTCTAATCAAACAAGGAAACTCGCTGGCAGAAAATCACAAACTGAGACATTCCAATGGAGTCTAAAAAAACAGAAACAAATTCAGAAGCATCTTTTCTGTTATCCGAAATATTTTGGTTTGTTTATTGCCAGATATTATCTGCATTGTTACCACAATCAATCAGCTTAAGGGGATTTTTGTTTTAAAGATGCATGCCTAGTAGGCAGGGTAGAAAGGCAGTGGGAAGACAGATTTTTTTAAAAAGAAAAAATGTTGAGAGATAATGGCCATGAGCAATATAGGGAAATAATGAACAAACTTTTGCTATTGAGCATTATCCAATATTTCATATTTTACTATTTCATTACTGTAGGAGCCTTTGTAGAATTGATTTCCCTTCCCCAGCTTCACCCTGGCTGAATTTTTTAGAGTAATAGAATTAATTGTAGTTATTATTTCTAAACTTTGTATTAGAAATTTGAATTTCACCAATTATCCTGGCCAATGACGAAAGCTTGAAAAACTCCATTTACAGATGTGTGAATAAAAATGATTGGCTTATCTTTTTTAAAAAAAACAAAAAGTCCTCCCAAGGACTGAATGTGCCGATTCTGAAGTAGATGATATCATTTACTTTAGTTGTCATCCATTATTTATTTCCTTGAGGATTCAGTTCACATGTTTCACTGCAAGAAGGCAAACTCTTGCCTAAAAATCTCACATGGCAGCTTTACATTCTGTGTCTCCTTGCTGTGGGGATGGTCATTTAGCTGAGCTGTTTGAGTGCTTTCAAGTAAACAGCCATCCTTGGTGAACTCCCTAAAGAAGCCTAGGGATGCTGTAAAGAAAATACAAGACTATGGGACATTTTTAATTGATCATAGAAATTCCATTTACTCAATTGATTTAAAACATGTGCTGTATATGTGCATTAAAAATATGGAAAGTAAGATGTAATGGGGAGCTGAAGAATGCACATCTCGGGACATTGGAAAGTGCTTTTTTTTCATTAGGACTGATACAATTATATACACAAGTACTGTCTTGCTTGCAGAGTATGTATGATGTTCCAAAGTGCTGTAACATTTGAACTATTACCTTGAGATAGAGGTGGTTATGTTGTCTAACTATGGCTTCAGGAAATAAGCATTACTGCAATTAACTATAAAAATTCCACCATACAGCTTGAAATTATCGCACGTGCTTTTGGGGGCGGGGGGTATTTATTTATTTATTTATTGCTTAAAACTGAATTACTTAGAACTGAGTGTCTGTGATATAGGATACTAACATTGTCCCCCTTCCCCACTGTCTTCTATGATGTAGTTGCCCTGTTAGAGTTGAGTAGCAATTCTGGATGGAGATTCTGGGTTAGGAAAACTGGTTTTATGGCATGTTCCCTATTGTGAATACCAAAGAGGTAGACTGAGGTCAATGATGTGGAACAGAATGAGCTATAATGATTTATGCCTCTGATGTGAGACCCTGCAGGACCAGTGATTGCATTCATCATTTCAGCCTATCAAATATTGTGAAGTGTATTCTTTAAATATGAGATAGGAATATGCTTGAGCTTAGACAAAATAAAAGTGGAGGATCTCCCTACACCAGGATATTTTTCTGGGGTGTTAAAAGGTAGAGCAATGAATTTGGATACTTACAAACAGAAATGTTCTGCATTATGTCGTATTGTGTTTTTTCAGGTGGCTGACACTGCTATCATTCTCTGGAGTATGAAACTAGATGCATTGAAGGATAATTTAAAAGTGATTATCTTGCTCTGTTCAAGATGTTTACAATATATATGGAGGTGGTGGCACATTGTAAGCAGTTAACTCATATGGCAATGAAATATATAGATAGATGACTCATTTTATTTATTTTTATTATTATTTATTAAATTTGTCTGCTACCCATCTCACTGCAGCTCACCACAGCTTACAAATAATACTCTTTTATTTCAATCATTGATCAACAAATACAATAGAGAGAACAAATAGCAACATATAGTTACAGAGTTCATCTGTATACAGTGTTTTTTTGTATGAAGCATGCTTTCATAAATTTGTTTCTCGGCATCATATCTAGCAAGAATTGTATGATGTTTGTGTATGTGTGTGTCTTCTTTTTGAAATTTTAATTAAATGTTGGATGAGATTTTCAAACTGTAGTCCTCCTTGGTGTAAACTGTGTGATAGCACATAAGCTGTTGATTAAATCTCATAAATATCACATAAGTGGATAAGATATAGAATAAACCAGAACCTGGAATCCAATAAGTGGAATATGAATACCCTTCTCAAGCTTAAAATAGTAATATTCCTAAGATATTTGGTTACAGTAAAGCCTTATCTTTTAATAAGGTACCATATTTCTTTGGATGACAGTATCCCTTATGATTGGTGAAGCATCTGCTTACTTCTCCAAAGATATCACAGATTTCAGATTTATGATAATATACCTCTTTGCCATTATTTTTACTCAAGTGAACCAATAGTTTACTTAGGGCAGGGGTGTCAAACTGGCGGCCCATGGACCAAGTGCGTCATGTGCAGGCCATGCCCACCCCAGCTCCGTGAAGGGAAAAAATGTCATGAAACATCATGTGATGGCAACATGATCCCGTGAGTTTGACACCCATGACTTAGAGCATTAGTAGGCTAAACCCAGTGGGGAAAATGTTCTGCCAGAATTTTAGAACACTGACTTTAAGCCCTCATCTCAGTCATATATGATTTTGTTTCAGCCCTATAAGGTAGACCAGACTAAGAAGCAGATACCAGATAGATCTAAAGCCATTCTTATTAGAAAGCTATAGTATCAGAATCTAGCAAAACTGTATCTTCTTGCTTTCCTCATTTTATCTGGATGTGCAAATGGGGAGGGGGCTGTCTAAGGTGGTTTTTTGTAAAGCCTTTTCTTGGTCTGGTCTCAAGCCTTATTTATCATATTGTTACCTTAGTAATGGATCTTCTTTTAAGGTCATCCTGTATGTTCACCATAGTTTCTAATTGTATTCAAAATACATTATTATCCTATTAAGACCTTCCTTAGCAATTCATTCTTTTGCATGATTAAAGTAGACAAATAGATATAATAGACAGACAATACATACATACATACATACATACATACATACATACATACATATATACACACACACTCTCTCTCTCTCACAGACACACACGTAGGAATTATAACATTTGACCACAAAATTTGCCATAACTACCTTTAAAGTCAAAAATGCATATTGGCCCCTGGTATGAGCAACAATTTAATTATAGCTGATATTCTCCTGATATCCTTACCTTACTGATTTTCAGGCCAGATTCAGACCTAAAACAAATCATAATTTTTCATTATGGACAGGGTGTTGTGCTTGTCTTTTTATGTATTCTTCTTGTCCTTCTCTTTTGCATGCTGATTGGCACTTTCCATTTTCAGTAGAAAGGGAAGGAAATGCATATATACCTCTTCAAATGGAAGGGAATCGTCGTGTTCTGGTTGGCATTTCAACCTTTGCCTTATGCTTGTGACTGAATTAAAAAAATACAAATGATTTAAGGTAAAGTCAGTGGTTGATACAAATTAAACATGTAATTACCCATATAGTTTAAGAACATTAGAGCCATGACCACTGTCCTAAAAGATTAAAGGCAGCAATAGATAATATTGGAATAGTACCATTTCAATTAATTTCAGAACAAAAAAAAAAAAAAGAGTTTGTCTTCTGCACACCAAGCTAAAGGCAAGATACTAGCTATACCCGTACTTTGTTTGGCCTTATGTCCAATAACCTCTCACTTTTGCAGGCCAAGGTCAAGAGCAAAAAACCCATATTGATTGGAATGTTTTTACACAGTTTCAGGCTTTCCTCTAAATCACTACAATGCATCTCAGAAGATTTTCAACCTCTTCTTTTGAAGCCAAAGATGAGGGTTGGATAGAAGAGTAAACTTGATTTCTGATACAATTTGACCTAATGACAAAAATTAGCTTCTATATACGCTCGGGATCTTTCTCTCTCTTGTGTGGCCCAAAGTTTTAAACTCTGTGTTTCTTTCTTACACTTTTATGCTGTAATAGACTAGGAACCACCATTTTCTCAGACTTTTTTTGTTCTAATCAGCTGCAAATTGTTTACAAAATGGCCCTCTCTGTTTCCCAACATCCCACTTCCTATCTTCCCAGTTTTCTCTTATACCTGTTGTTAAAAAACCTGGGTTGGTAGCTCATAAAATATGCAGGTTTCATGTGTATATATACACACACACACACACACACACACACACACACACACACACACATATATGCGCGCGCGCGCACGCTCACACACACACACACACATATATATAACCAGAAACATGGCCTGATATGATAATAACTTGCTATTTGAAGAACCTCTTCTCTGGTTGGCGTCTTTGTATGATCTCTGTATATTTCTGTTTTATTCATGGTCAATATTCTGATTGTTGCTTGGTTTCACATATTTACAGTAAATAGTCATAATTTTGTTTGGTTTGTTCATTTGCCATTGGGAGTATCTTAGTTTTTGAAGATTTATTCTATAAAAATGATGCAAGTACTCAATAGACAGTTATTTCCTTGAGCTTCAGTTCCGTATATTTTTTTAATTGCTTTTAATTTGCTTTAATATCTTTTGTTCTTATTGTTTTGACTATTTATTTACATATGTTGTGTTGTTTTATTATTTTTAACTGTGAAGAACAATCATAAGTCATGGGGACTCATGCAAGATGGGTGGCTATATAGATGGAGCAAATCAGTAAATATTGTAAACAAACGAACTAACATACCTTTATTTCAAATGGCTTTTTATGATCAAAAGAAATCTTAACATACAAACCAGAAATTATGCGTGATTAAAAATCAAATAAGATGTTTCTCGCATTTCATGTAACTTTTGCTTAGGGAACAGATTAATGTAAATTACAATAGGACTATAGCATTTCTAGATTACTATATATAAATTGTGAACAAGAGAGGAAAAACAGGAGGAAATATGAGAAGAGTACATTTGCAGACTGAGTATTTTTTACTCTCTGTGTCTGTGTGTACATAATGTCTTTTAAATTCTTTTTGAGTTTTCAGCAGGGAGGCCAGATGACAAGCATAATGATGTCACTCTTACGTTGTTTCTCTAGCACTATTTGTTCCAGCAAAATAGAAGGAATCATGCATGATGAAATGTAAGTGCAGAGTTATGTTGGATATTGCATTTAATTTTAAATTACTGGTATACTCATACTTATGTTGGATACACATATTCTGTAATGTTCAGTATATAGAGATTAATTTGCTGAATTATTGGCCAGAGTCTTAGATAGCATCGAAACTAGAATTTTGATGGGTGAACGAATTCCTGAAAGCTACAGGCTGCTGTACCTTTCATAGTCTTGTTTTCCTTTCATGTCGCTGAGTGCTCTCCATGGTCCTGCTGCTTCCGTATCTTTAATCTTTAAATAATGCTGCAAATTATCGTTGAGGTTCAGTGCTAGCATCTTTTCCGCTGCATATCTGAAATAAAATATATCTTCTCATAAGGTTGTGCATACTTATGTTATTGTAAGTTTCCGGTTATCACTGAATGAACCCCAGTCAGTATGAATATAAGATAGACCTGTCAGATCTCAGATCTTTCAAGGAATGCAATTATGATTGCCCCACTGTGCTACTTCATCAAATGCCCATGTCGTCAACTGATTTGGCCAGATTGATAAAGGAAACCTGGAAGGGGCAAATCTGCATAAGAGAAGCTACAGTTTCTAATTAATAGGCAATGCAAAGAACCATAGATTTTGGCATATAGATTCCAACACAGGCTAGAATGTTTATGTTTCCTTTCTTTGTCAGCTTGAATAACAGGTGACTCAGCTGACTTTAGTTCATGTTGGTTTCATTTAGCACACTTTTTGAATTTAGTTTCAAGAGATTCCTCAGGCAAAGTATTGTTACAAAGACTTGCTTGGACACAAAGAAGTAATTGACTTCTTTGTAATTGTCATAGACCAGGAAAAGGAGGGCAGAGGCAAAATTTGATGAGTATTTTACAGAGGCACCAGAAGAATGCTTGAAGCAAGAGATATATTCCCATTACATGGGAAAATGCTGATACAGACAGAAGGAAACCAGAAAATATATGTCGGCTTTACATTTTCCCCATGTTATTAGTAATAAGAAACTTAATCAATGCAACTTTTTACATATATGTTTTCTTCAAATTTCATAAGAATTATTTTTAAGGTGAAAGTTTCTTGAAACCACACAGCACACATCTGAAAATAGCAAAGCTTGTCAATCCAAAAGCCATAAAGCACTATCATTGCTGCAGCTGAATTCTAAGCAGTTTTCTATCTTTATTTCCTAGAGTTGATTTTTTTTTTTAAAAAATCCTATTAAAAGAGAGAATTGATATTGTAGAGCTGTAGATGAAATCAAATTGTTTATTGTGTTAACCCTGCAATTAGATATTTGTACCTGACAAAATTTTGATCTGATCATAATTTTCCTTGGCAAATGATTGAGTAATGGACTTCTACCTGAAAAATTAGCTTTACAACTGAAGCATAGGAGGTTAAGTTTTTGAATGACAGCTGGTAATAAGAGAGGAGAAAAGGCTGTACTGATAAAATTGATAAGAATATGTAATTGTAAGATGGGGTAGAGAGAAATTTGTAATTGAAGATGGGGTAGAGAGAAATTTGAGGAGCATTTGAGAGCATTAAGAGCCAATTTGGTCTTCAAGTTAAGGTGCCAGGCTAGAAGTCGGGAGACTGTGAGTTCTAGTCCCACCTTCTCTAATATTCCCTCCCTTCTGGTCTTCAGAAAACGGGAAAATGTCCTTGTTCACGAAGCTAGGGGAGTGGGTTGTTATGACTATCTCTCTGGATTGGCTTGTATTGATTTTAATCATTATTCCTACTTTTATATGGTTACAGACAGTGTATGGTATGTTGTTTTAAACTCGTCTGCTTTTAATTTGAAAGTTGACTGCTTGGAGCTGTCTGTAAACTTTAAGTAAATCTCATTTAGTGACCACAATTAGAACCAGCAACTTGGTTAATAAGCTAAGCAGTCACTAAGTGAAACTGTGACTGTGTTTACAATTGTACTTCAGCTCTCTTCTGCTTCACAAACTTGTGAAGGTTTTACTTTTTCATTACCATCACTTTTTCATTAACATAGTAACTGTAAATGATAACTGGCTAAGGCAATCAGTAAAGAAGGACATCTTGTAAATAAAATTTGTCCTATGGCAGGATGGGGATCAGCAGTGAGAGCAATATTTGAGTCAGTCTACATTTCTGCTAGTTTAAAGATTACTGCATAGCATTGGAGAGATGTTTACATTTGATTCGATAAATTATAGAAAAACCATGTGGAAATAGGAAGACAAAGTGATAGATCAAACTCTGTATCATTATAAAATACAGAAGCCCAACCTTACGGCTCTATTCAGTTCCACATGTGGAGAATCTGAAGATCCTGACATTAATTGACTGCTTGAGATGAAGAGCATTTCAACCAAAAATAGGTGCTGAATTATCTGTTACTTATTTAATAAAACAAACATTTTAGAAAATTACTCAGATATCAACACAACATGTGGCAACAACAAGAAGAATGGAAATTATTGAACTAAAATAGATAATATGACTCAAATGTATAAGGTTCCACCTGGATTGGGAAAAAATTAAGATCAGAATGTACCTTAACATAGCAAAACAGGGAGAAAGTTAGGTAATTAATACACAGTTACTAAGGTGTAGCATAGGCTGTCATCCATTTTGTCCTCTTTTCCCTTGAATTAACCTTGCATATCCCTTTTGTTCTGAAGTTTCCCCTTCCGCCCAAGTTAAATTTGGGAATGCATGGATAGTTGTAGAAATTAGACAAATCTAGTAACATCCATTCTCTGAAAGTCCAGTAGAGTGGGTTGCAATCAGAGTGATTATGTTTAAACTCTCTGAAAAATATTCTGCTTTGATCTGTGGTGCTGTAAGAAATATTGTAGTCATTTTGCAGCCTATGTTTTTTCTATAGCTTTAAATTCATTCGCTATTGGATTTACTAATTTGTGTAATATTTACTATTACTAATATTTAATACTAGTATAATATTTTAAAGCTATACTGGAGCTTTTGTGCAATTCTCAAAATAAAGGAATATTTCTGTCTAACATATAGATTACTTCTGTCGAAATGTTTTATTTCTAACATTTTAATAAACATCTATGTCTGTTGCATTATTGGCTGTTCACTTTTAAATACATTACTTTTTTTTATTTGATATTTGATGTTCATATGTTAAGCTTAAAAGTCAGCAACAGAATGATACATGTAGAAATCCTTGAGGATTATATTCAGCCTGCATTTTAAATGAATCAGTCAGGTGTATACTTCTAAGACTAACTTGCAAATTGGAACGGTGTTATTCTCCACTTTCCTTTTTTCTTCATAATCTATATAAGTATTACAGTTCAAGAATTGTCCACCCAGTTCCCTCCCTCCCTCCCTTCCTTCCATCCTCTTTTCCAAATTTCTAGTTGTGCAGATAGAGGAACTTTGCACACACCATTTCAACCTGTAATCACAAGTATCATTTTTACCCCACAATTGTGAAGAAAGAAAGAAAGAAAGAAAGAAAGAAAGAAAGAAAGAAAGAAAGAAAGAAAGAAATGTTTTCTACTAAGCCCCATCTAGACTCTCTCTTGGCTACATTATTTAGGTGACACTAACCATGATGATTGCCAAACAAATCTCATCCCATTGTACTTGTCTCATGCTCTATATTTTTACCACAACTTGCTCAAGTCACTTCTACAATATTCTCAACATTCACATACATTTCTGAAGGGCACAAATTAAAAGAGCCAGTCTACTACCTTATCCTTCCTCAGTCTCACATTCACTTCCCTACATTGGCCAACTATTCAGCTACTGCTGCATCTCTCCAAAGATTAGTTTGGCCTCTACAGCTGTACTAAAAGGGTCTATGAAACCATGTTCTGAAGATAATATCAGTTTCTGTCTGCTGAATAGCTTTTTATGTAGTAAAGCTGAAACGGAGAGTTTCTCTCAGACCATCTGCCTCTAAAAACTTAGAACCAGAAGGACAGCTGGCTGAAGAGGAAGAGTTACATTAGGAATGGAAATAACTACTGCAGGTTAGTTATTTCCAGTCCTAATATATTATTTTTCCAGTTCCAATATATGTCCTCTGGAATCTCGGTCCATGTGTTACCATAATCCAATTTTTGCATTTTGTTTTCCCTCTTTCCTAAATCTGAATATGTATGTGTGCAAATAAACTTCTTTGACAGCTTAACCAATTCTACTTCCTGTTGAAAAACTGAGGAAAGAGAAGCAAAAATGTTCCCATTATGGATTCTGATGCAATTGTTTTGAGACTTAGAAGGTCTAACTTCTATTACCATTTCTCCAATGGAGTTATGCTTTATGTTTACATTTCAAAATAATCTACTACTCTTCATACCTGCCTCATATAAAGTTCTTCAAGATGAATTTTACTTATGGGCAGTCCCTTGATATGTAGAATCCCAATCATTTAATAAATTAAGTATTTTCATGAATTCATATTCAGTCATTCTGAAAGATAATGTAATAGGATAGTTGCTTCAGAATGTCTCCATTTTTTTTAATCAAAGACACAGTATCGTTTTTTATGAAGTGCTTGGCATCAAGAAGCAGTAGAAGCAGCTCATATTATGAATATTAAGGAAGTAATCTGATACTGGCAGAGAGGCAGCAGTAGCTACTATATAGTAGATTCTAGGTTTTGGCAATAGTGATCTGAGAGAAACATCTCAGAGATGTTAAATAGCACTGAATGGGAATCAGTCTGGTAGTTGAAACTGGTTTTGGGCAAAGGTAGGCACTGGACAGAGAGAATAAATTGGCAAACAGGTGATGACTTGCTAAGTCAAGATAAAAGAAATAGCAGAAGCTCTCTGGTTGATACTGGCTCTGGAGATATCATTTCAAGATATGGTTTGTTGGCTGGTGGTCTTTGCAAGATGTCAGGGAAGCCAAGGCCTGAAAAGTAAGTACTACAACAAGCCCAACTCTGCATGTCTTCTCGAAAGAAGCTTAGTATCCTTGAACCTATGATAAGAGTGGCCAGTGATTTTTCCAATGTGAATTTATGAAGGCCTGGATGTTGATACAGCATCCTTTACAACAAGATAGATTTGGCAAACAATGCAGTTGACCCTCACAAATCTAGTCTTTCATAGTGCTTTTTACAAGACCTCAGCAATATGGTTAAGCTGCTAACCAACCAGCTACTTATCTGCCATCTAATTCATGCCATTCTGATTTCCATTGCATGGAATACTGATTCATAAAATAGAGCCCTTTATATTCTTTTGCCTTTATATTCCTTCCCTCTCCCTTTACCCTCAATCTCAACACTGTTGGCTCCAAGTCCTATCCACTGCACCATGATGGCCTGCATTCTGTTCTGGGTGTTCCCGATATGATATCCAATGGGGAGTA